AGAGGAGCGGAGTTCCGGCTGGCGCCCGCGTTGGCCACGCCCAGCAGGAACTCATTAGCATAATAGGCCACACCCAACAGCAGAAACTCATTAGGACTGGCTACATTAGGGGTGTGTGGCCTAACATGCAAAGGGTTACGGCTATAAAAAAGTCCAGGGTTTTGACAACAAACAAGGTAAACAGAATAAGAAGCAAAAGGTGAGTGTGTCTGGATGACCACACTTCTGCGAACATAGGGTGTGTGGCCTAATATGCTAATGAGCTGTGCTGTCAGGGGTGTGTCCTAATAAGCAAATGAATTTCTGCTGTTGGGTGTGGCCTATTATGCTAATGAGTTCCTGCTGGGCTTTTTCTACAGAAAAAGTCCTGCCCAAGAGCATTGTCTGTTTCCCCCCCAAGTCTAGGAACCCAATGAGATTTGGTGGTTCTGCCAAGAGCCCGCTGTTTTACGTCTCCCCAGAACTTAAAAAGTCAATCCAGTATTCCGTGATTCATTTTTGTCTTCCAGAAGAAGCAAAAGGGAATCCGGAAATCTCAGGACCATGTGGCATTTTTGAAGCCGTGGTGACAGGTTCACTGTGCATCATGTCCGACTCTGTCTCCAGTGACAACAGAGGTCCAACGGAAAATGTGTCTGGGTAAGTTGGCCGCTCTTTTTGCGTGAGAGAGGGAGCCGATTGGCCATCTCCTTTCCGGGGAAGGGCCAGAGCAGCTGAGGTGAGCATGTTTGCCAGTCACTGACATCGGTTGGCAGACAGTTTAGGACTGACCCATAGCAGAATGGAACTTAACTTACAGAATTAACTTTCATTAGATGTGGTGACTGCTCATAGGGCTTCCCAAGACATTCATGGAGCACAGTGCTTTCCGTGCCTGTAGGCCAGGGTAACTTAATGGAACCTCCATGTTTAGAGGTAGTATATCTGCGAGTACTAAATGCTCATTCCATGCTTGTGAGCCTCCGATTGGCCATCTCCTTTCCGGGGAAGGGCCAGAGCGGCTGAGGTGAGCATGTTTGCCAGCCACTGACATCGGTTGGCAGACAGTTTAGGACTGACCCATAGCAGAATGGAACAACTTACAGAATTAACTTTCATTAGATGTGGTGACTGCTCATAGGGCTTCCCAAGACATTCATGGAGCACAGTGCTTGCCATGCCTGTAGGCCAGGATAACTTAATGGAACCTCCATGTTTAGAGGCAGTATATCTGCGAGCACTAAATGCTCATTCCATGCTTGTGAGCCCGCCAATAGAATCTGGCTGGAAAAGACACCAGACCCAACGGATCTTTGGCCTGATCCAGCCGGAGCTATTCGGACATTCTTATCGACAAGTAAGGATTACCAAATGTTACCTGTTTCATTTATTTGTATATTCCTTGGCATTTTTGTTGCTGTTTCCAGTTTATGTGCTTCACTGTTGGTTTTGTAGATGGACCAGTATTGTGTACACATTCTATCTATTGCCCATATAATAATTTACATTGAAAAAATGTGTATATTTTATGGGCAAAATTTGGTGCAAGGAGAAACTGGAAAGGAAGAATTCCCGGTCTGATTTTAATGAGAGAGGAGCAAAACAAAAATGGGGATTCGGGGGTTAAAGCGGCAGAGATGGCGCCTACTACATCATTTTTTTGCAACGTTTCAGTTCTGTCTTCAGATGTCCGGCTGGTTCCAGATTTTTACAATCCAAAACCCTACTGCGTTGTTCTGTCGGATGTCCCATCCTTTTGATCGTATCGACTTCCTGTGTGTATAACCTGCCTGCAGACCCAGTGAGAAAGGCAGACTATACCTCTAACACAGAGAAATAAAAAGAAGAACATTCAAAACCGTCGCTTTCCCAGATGTCCCTGCCACTGCAAGGGGAAGGTAGCAGATTCCTGGAAAGACCTCTCTCTGCCTGGAACCCAGAGAGCCACCCAGGGTCGGAGAAAGCAGTCAGAGGGGAAACTCAGCTTCCTTTTAATGCGAGACTAGAGAAAGCGGCCCTGTCCTGGATAGGCCAGGCCAGTCAGATCTTGGAAAGCTATACAGGGTCAGTCCTGGTTAGTACTTGAATGGGAGACCACCGTGGAAGTCCGGGGTCTCTACGCTGGGACAGGCAATTGCAAACTACCTCTGCTTGTCTCTTGCCTTGACCTGGATGGCCCAGACTAACCCCATTCAGGGGTCATTTCGTAGAAAAAGAGGTGCAGGAGCTCATTAGCACAACTGATTTGCATAACACATTTGCATAGGCCACACCCCCTGACATCACCGGAAGTGTGTCAGAAGGCAACACCCACCGCTCAGGCTCCACTGGACTGTTTTGGATTGCTAGCTATTGGGGGTGGGGGCGTGCAGATCTGCCCTCGCAGAGGAGGGAGAGCTTGTACCTGAATAAAACTCAGTCTTAAAGGTGCCACTGGTTTGTTTTGGACCCGGGGGGCTGGGGTGGGGGGCTCTGCAACTTTCCTGGCTGCTTCTTGCTCTGACTGAGGGCTGCTGGGAGCAGGGGGTGGGGCTTGTTGCATGTGCCCGCCCCCTGGGCTCTTTACTGCCGGAGCTCTGCTCCTGTGCGCTCCCGCAGGAAATGACCCCCTGGATCCAACCTATCCTCCCCCCGCCCCAAATCCAGTGATTGCTTTTGGCAAACGTGGCCACCTGGCTAGACTCTGCCCTGAACGGCAGCCCAGATGATGGGACTTCAGTGATAAAAATTTTAGCCGGCCTCTCCCAGACATTAAGCTCATCGACAGCCATTGTGGGGCGACGATCCCCTCTGAATTCCCATCCCCAAGAGGCCAAGTCACCAAGAGTTGTTGCTTTTGCCTTGACATCAAATCTCGGAAGCTAAGTGGAGCCGGCCCTGGCAAGTAATTGGAAGGGAGATCTCCAAGGAATACCAGGGCTGGGAAGCAGAGGCAGGCTATCAAGCCACTTCTCTGAAAAAAACGTCCAAACCCCACTAGGGGGTCGCCAGAAGTCACCACGACTTCCAGGCATGCAAGCGTGCTCTCTCTCTCACACACACACACACCCATCCACCCCAAAAAAGGGTTGTTACCAGGGGTCATTTGGTAGACAAAGAGGTGCAGGAGCTCATTAGCATAACTCATTAGCTGTAGGGCAGTCCAGGATTCTCCTGGCTGGAGGTTGGGAGCTGAAATACTTATACGTCATGAGAGGCCGAGATGGAATCTGTTTACTGCTCACTACGCAGTCAGTAGCCTCCCCTGACATCACCAGAAGTGTGTCAGAAGGCAACACCCACCGCTCAGGCTCCATTGGACTCTTTTGGATTGCTAGCTATTGGGGGGGGGGAACGTGCAGACCTGCCCTCGCAGAGGAGGGAGAGCTTGTACCTGAATAAAACTTGGTCTTAAAGGTGCCACTGGACTGTTTTGGATTGCTAGCTGGGGGGGATGCACAGATCTGCCCTCACACAGATCTGTGCAGAGAGAGAGACAGAAATAAGGAGGGAAACAGGGAAAGAAGGAAAGAAGGAAAGAATGAGGGAAAGAAAGAAGGAAAAAGGAGGAAGAGAAGGAAAGAAAGAAAAAGAAAGAAGGAGGGAGAGAAGGAGCAGGGGGTGGGGCTTGTTGCAGGTGCCCGCCCCCTGGGCTCTTTACTGCCGGAGCTCCGCTCCTGTGCGCTCCTGCAGGAAATGACCCCTGGTTGTTACATTTAATATTTTCAGTTCCTAGGACAGCCTGGTTCCCCCCCCCCCGACCACTGGCAGGAGATGGGTGGGGGGGGTGCTGCCAGCTCCAGGTTAGGACATTCCTGGGGATTTGGGGATGGAGCCTGGGGAGGACAGGGGACCTCAGTGTGGCACAGTGCCGTAGAGCCCACCTTGCAGGGGAACTGATCCCTGTAGTCTGGAGCTGCGCTGTAATTCCGGGCGATCCCAAGGCCCCACCTGGAGGCTGGCGTGCCTACCTAGATGGCAAATGGCAGCCTGAAAAGATAGAGTCGTAGAATCATAGAATGTTCGAGTTGGAAGGGACCTTGCAGGTCATCTAGTCCAACCCCCTGCACGCCGCAGGAGCTCCTTGCTCTGACTGAGGACTGCTAGGAGCAGGGGGTTGGGCTTGTTGCATGTGCCCGCCCCCTGGGCTCTTTACTGCCGGAGCTCCGCTCCTGTGCGCTCCTGCAGGAAATGACCCCTGGCTGTAATAGTGGGAGAGCTCCAGGAGCCACCTGGAAGTTGGCAACCACAGCATCGTCTTAGGGTGCCACTGTCTTGGCAAGGTCTTCCAGGGTGAGAACTTGCACTTTTCATATAATCATAGAATGTTAAGAGTTGGAAGGGACCTTGCAGGTCATCTAGTCCAACCCCCTGCACTCTGCAGGAGCAAAGCCGAAAGAGAACCCTACGACGTACCCGAAAGATGGCTGTCCAGCCTCCGCTCAAAAACGTCCAGCGAAGGAGCCTCCACCCCCTCCCGAGGCAGTCTGTCCCACTGCTCAACCACTCTCACAGTTAGGAAGTTTCTCCGGATATTTAGCCGGTATCGACTCCCTTGTAGTCTCCACCCGCTCTTGCAATCCGGAGCAAGCAAAGTTTTTCTTCCTTGCAAGGAGATGGAGGGGAAGGCTTGAGCCGCCAAACGTCCAGCCAGCCGCTGCTAACGGTGCAGGAGGAGGGCTCCGAAAAACAGCCGGGCAAACCCGTTCTGTCTTCCTGGCTAGCCGAGAGCGAATGAACCCCTTCGCAGGCCAGGGTGGGTGACCCAGTTTTCCCGTGGAGGCTTTCTCCTTACTCCCCTCTTCTCCTCCCCTGTGCAGCCCCTCGCACGCTTTCGTCAACGGGAGGTGTGATGGTTCCCTCAGCCTCCTGGACAGACTCTCCGCGACCAGGGGCGTCTGGGAGCTCCTCGGTACCCTCCCACGGCAAGCCACGGAACTGCTCGCAGGGCAAGCATCTGGGGTAAGTGGCCAGCAGACTTTGAACAGTCTGGCAAGCCAGCAGGAGGGCCGGGACAACCGGCTGTGCTTCCTTAAAGAGATAGTTTTGCAATCGAGGGTCCGTCCGTCCACCCCCTCCCCAACTCAGTAGGCAGTAGGTTCAGGACGGACAAAAGGAAATGCTACTTTACACAGAGAGTGGTTAAAATGCGGGGTTTGCTGCCAAAGGGAGCTGCGGTGGCTCAAGTGGTTAAGACGCTGAACTGCAAGCTGTGGAAGGTCGGCAGTTCAGCAGTTCGAGACCCGAGTGTGCCGCATGACGGAGTGAGCTCCCGTCTCTAGTTCCAGCTCCTGCCAACCTAGCAGTTCGAAAGCAAGACATTGCAAGTAGATAAATAGGTACCACTTCGGTGGGAAGGTAACAGCGTTCCGTGCGCCGTGGTGTTTAGTCATGCCGGCCACATGACCACGGAAATGTCTTCGCACAGCGCTGGCTCTTCGGCTTTGAAACGGAGATGAGCACCGCAACCCTAGAGTCGGACTCGACTGGCTTTCGAGCAAGGGAACCTTTACCTTTTACCTTGCTGCCAAAGGGTGTAGTGACGGCCACAGGAATACACAGCTTTAAAAGGGGATTAGAGAGATTCATGGAGGATACGTCTATCAGTGACATCTAGTCCTGGTGACCAATGTCTCCTCTATGCTGTGAAGTTTTGTGAGCAAAAATTCTACTTTGTGAGCTTCTGGCATTAAAGTTGTGAGCGAGTGATTTGGCTACTGCATAACGTAGTTTGCTCTGGAGCCATCCTTCCTCAGCTGAGACAAGATTGTGTGAGCTGGAGGCTAAAAAACTGTGAGCTACCTCACACAAACTCAGCTTAGAGGAAACACTGCTGGTGACTGACGGGAACCTCCACATTCAGAGGAACTAACCCTCTGAATCCCAGAGCCAGGAGGCAACATCAGGGGAAGGCCTCGGCCTCTATGCCCTGTTCTTGGCCCTCCAGAGGAACTGGTTGTCCACTATGTGATACAGGATTCTGGGCTAGATGAACTATTAGTCTGACCCAGCAGGACTCTTCTGATGTCCTTAATAGGGGAAGACCTCATTCTCTATGCCCAATTTGTTGGACCTTCAGCAGAACTGGTTGGCCACTGTGTGAGACGGGATGCTGGACTAGATGGACTATTGGCCTGATCCAGCAGGGCTCTTCTGATGTTGTTGGCCATCCAGAGGAACTGGTTGTCCATTGTGTGAGATAGGATGCTGTACTAGATCTGGGCTAGATCTGATGGGTCTGATCCAGCAAGGCTCTTCTAAGGCCCTGTTGTTGGCCTTCCAGAGGAACTGCCTGGCCACTGTGTGAGACAGGATGCTGGACTAGATGGACCACTGGTCTGATCCAGCAGGGCTCTTCTGAGGTGCTTATGAAGGCCTCGGCCTCTCCGCCCTTTTGCTGGCCCTCCAGGGGAACTGGTTGGCCACTGTGTGAGACAGGATGCTGGACTAGATGGACCTTCACTGGTCTGATCCAGCAGGGCTCTTCTGAGGTTCTTATGAAGGCCTCAGCCTCTCTGCCCTGTTGTTGGCCCTCCAGAGGAGCTGGTTGGCCACTGTGTGAGGCAGGATGCTGGACTAGATGGACTACCGGTCTGACCCAGAAAGGCTGTTCTTAGGAGTCTTGCCTCAATCTCTCTTGCAGTGCTCTCAATGGTGGTGGGGGGAAAACTACTGGCCAGAAGTTAGTTCCCACCTCCTTGGTTTTAGGATCTAGGTTAGCAGAACCTGCAAATCTGCTCGAAGCTTCCATCTGGTTCCTCTTTCCTGCTCAAAGGGGGAAGGAAGTGCGTTCCGTGTGTGGATCTGTCTTCATGTCCGTGCCTTCCAGATAAAAGTGATTGCTAAACCTGTTTTCTTGCATGCGTTCTCTCTCTCTCTCTCTCTCTCTCTCTCTCTCTCTCTCTCTCTCTCTGTCCTTCCGGCCCCCTTTTCCTGTAACCAGACATTCATCATCACCCGAGATGTGGCTGGAGATTCCAGGGTCATCTCGATTCGGACACGGGAAGGTGGGGCTGACGCTGTCCGCTGCTTCTCTGTTCTAGACGAGAACTCTGGTAGGTCATTTTCAGAGGTGCCGCGAATTGTGTGGGCGTAAGGATAGTGTGGAGAAGAGAGGGGCAGGGGGAAAAGACAACCTTTGCTCTTTGTCCCTAGTTCCTGCTGCCCGGAGGTATACTTCCTCTGTGTACGAAAGGTCTACTTAAGTGTCGTGGTTAATAGATGCTGCCTTACTCTGCTCCCCGTGACTGTTCTACATGAATTGTAGTGGGTGGGTGTGCGTGCCTGTGCATATGCGTGTTCCTTTTCGCTATATAGTTAAACTCATGTTCATCTTTTTGGTTTTCTGTTTTTCCTTCGACGGCTTATTTGCCAGTCTCACCTGAAATCTTTTCCCTGTATTTGTGTTTGGTGTAGTAGTTGAGTGTGCGGACTCTAATCTGGGAGAACCGGGTTTGATTCCTCACTCCTCCACTTGCACCTGGCTGGATGACCTTGGGCAAGCCGTGGTTCTGATCAGCGCTGTTCTTGAAAAAACAGCAGTTTCTGTCAAGAGCTCTCTCAGCCCCACCTACCTCACAGGGGGTCTGTTGTGGGGAGCAATGCTCCCTCTAAGCTGTGGAGTCTTGTGAGCAGGAAACGCTACTTTGTGAGCTACTGGCATTAAAGTTGTGAGCGAGCGATTTGGCTGCTGCATAAATTAGTTTGCTCCTTCCTGAGCTAAGACAAATATCTGTGAGCTGGAGGCTAAAAATCTGTGAGCTAGCTCACACTAACTCAGCTTAGAGGGACCACTGGTGGGAAGGGAAAGGAGTATGTACGGTAAGCCGCTCTGAGACACCTTTGGGAGTGAAGGGCGGGGTATATATCCAATCTCTTCTCTTCTCTTAAAATCATTCTGGCTGTAGGGTTGCCAGGTCTGAGTTGGAAAACACCTGGAGTCTTTGGGGGTGGAGCCGGAGGAGGGGGGGGTTTGGGGAGGGGAGGGGCCTCAGCAGGGTCTAATGCCACAGAGTCCGTCCTTCAAAGCGGCCATTTTCTCCAGGGGATCCGATCTCTGCCAGCTGGAGATCAGTTGTAAAAGCGGGAGATCTCCAGGCCCCGCCGGGAGGCTGGCAACCCTGTTATGTTGTCCTTCTTTCCCCCCCACCCTTACGTTTGAAATTGAAATTTGTATATTTTATAATGACATTTAAATGGAGGATATCTCCTCTCCCCGTTTCTCTCTCTCTCTGTGTTTTTTGTCCTGACATCTTGCTCTTCCTCGCAGCCGTGTACCTGGAGGGCTCCCACCTGCGCTTCCGAGATCTGCTGGATCTGGTCGCCTTTCACATGGTGAGCAGGTGAGTGGCTACTGGGAGAGGCTCCCATGAGAAGTTGTCTTGGGACCACCCTTCCTTCCAGGAGGTTCAGAGGCTGACAGGTGGGATCTGTTCAACGTTCCCTCCTGGCGACTGCCTGGGTAAAGCTTCTTCGTTCTGGGAAACTTTGCCAGAACCAGGCACCACGACCTGAGCATTTTGCTGGTCTGGTCTTGCACACGAGGGCCTGTCTATATGTTATAACTACAATAATTTGACTCTATGGCTGAGCCAGCCAGTTCCTCTGGAGGTCCAACAATGGGCCGAGGCCTTCCCCTAACAAGAACCTCAGAAGAGCCCTGCTGGGTCAGACCAGTGAGGGTCCCTCTAGTCCAGCCTCCCGTCTCACACAGTGGCCAGCCAGTTCCTCTGGAGGGCCAGCAACAGGGCAGAGAGGCCGAGGCCTTCCCCTGATAAGAACCTCAGAAGAGCCCTGCTGGATCAGACCAGGGAGGGTCCCTCCAGTCCAGCCTCCCGTCTCACACAGGGGCCAGCCAGTCCCTCTGGAGGGCCAGCAACAGGGCGGGGAGGCCGAGGCCTTCCCCTGATAAGAGCATCAGAAGAGCCCTGCTGGATCAGACCAGTGAGGGTCCCTCTAGTCCAGCATCCCGTCTCACACAGGGGCCAGCCAGTTACTCTGGAGGGCCAACAACAGGGCAGGGAGGCTGAGGCCTTCCCCTGAGAAGGACATCAGAAGACCCCTGCTGGATCAGACCAGTGAGGGTCCGTCTAGCCCAGCATCCTGTCTCACACAGTGGCCAGCCAGTTCCTCTGGAGGGCCCACAACAGGGCACAGAGACCGAGGCCTTCCCCTGATGTGGCCTACTGGCACTGGGATTCAGAGGTTGCCTGCCTCTGAACATGGAGGTTCCCTATAGTCACCATGGCCAGTAGCCATTGATGGACCTCTGGTCCATGAATCTGTCAAATCCCATTTGTGCCTCTGGCCATCACTACATCCCCTGGCAGCCACCGTTCCCATTATGAGCACAGCGGCCCATGTTTGCACATCGGCCCGCCCTGGGTGTGGGTGGGAATCAAGTGACGGAGGCCCCTTCCCCTAGGATCTCAAGAGCCTGCTTTTTGTGTCATTCTGCTGGGCGTTTCTCTTCCAGGGACATCCTGCCGGATCTGCTGAGGATCCCAGACGCCTTTCAGCTCTCATGCAAGTCTGAATTAGACGCCCTTGCTGCGTTGGGCACGAGTGAGTTGAGAGGGGGGGGACCCTGCTGGGTGAGAGGAGGAGGCTGTGTAGCTGTTTCTCACATGTTTGATTCGTCCCCCTTCTGAACCAGTAGTCCTGCCCCTCAGCACCATGGGATACATTTGATCACCCCCCCAGTTTGCATTGCTTTGCTTACTGGTTTTCAGACTTGTCTCTGTGGTGTATTCAATTCAATGTAAACTGTATGTGATCTCACTCATTGGAACAACATGCAAAGCTTCGTCCTGGGCAAGGATCCTAATTCCTCAATTCCTATTGGTAGCCCAGGAAGAGCCGACCAATCACCTAACATCCAGTTCCCTGAGAGGGAACGTCTGTGATTGGACTTTATCTTTACAATCCTATTGGTTGTTATGTACAGCAGGGCGTGGCTACATTAGCCCGGGAGAGTTTAAAAGGAGCTCAGCTGCAATGCAAAAGCTGTTCTGGTTGTTCTGTTCTGGTTGTGTTAAGCGTTGCTCATTAAAGCTGAATCACTGGCTGAAATCACTCTCTAACTCTTGTTAAGTAGCCGACAACAGTTTCAACCGAGTTGGCTCCTGTGGCTGTCACTGCATCCTGTCTTGGGGAGTCCCGCAAGCTTCTTAATCTGCCACGTAAAGAATAACTTCCTTTCCCCCTGTTCACGGCCAGTGTTCCCTTTAGGCTGAGTTAGTGTGAGCTAGCTTACAGTTTTTTAGCCTCCGGATCACGCTTTATTGTCTCAGCTCAGGAAGGAGGGCTCCAGAGCAAACTAACTTATGCAGCAGTCAATTCACCTGCTCACAACGTTAATGCCAGTAGCTCACAAAGTAGAATTTTTGCTCACAGGGCTCCATAGCTTAGAGGGAACATTGTTCACGGCCCTCCTTTAGCCCCACCCCCTCTTTCTTCAGCCACGCCCATTTGATGTAAGTCTCTGTGCAGTGCCGGATTTATGCATAAGCTAAATAAGCTACAGCTTAGGGCCTCGCAATCTGTTGGAGCCTTATTTGTCATTTTAAAACCCTTTAATTATGTAATTATTTCTGTGATTTTGTAAACACATCCTTTATTATTTTTTAAAATAAAAATTAAAAGACAATATATTTTCAAATATTAAAAAGGCGTATATATTTTAAATTTTTCTGAGACCAGCTGATGTAATTTAAAACAGTAGGGGGGCTCTGGGTTTTGTATAGCTTAGGGCCTCAGCAAGTCTAAATCCGGCCCTGTCTCTGTGCCTCTAACAACCACATGGGAAGGAAACGTTCAAAGAGGCACAATTTTCTCTCTCCCCATCTGTACATTCCTAAGCTACAAAACAGCCCTGGTTGGATTTCTGCTTGTTAGGCAGACATTGGTCCTTTCCACATGTGCCTGACACTCCGGGTTTTCTCAGAGTTCAAGTCGAGGCCATTCCGTGGCCCAATCTCCATCTAGCGTTCGTTCCGCTGTTTTACCAAGCCCACACTGGAACAGAAAAAGATGCGGCCAGGGGTCATTTTGTAGGAAAAGAGATGCAGGAGCTCATTAGCATAACTTAGTAGCATGACTCATTTGCATAGGCCACACCCCCTGGCATCACCAGAAGTGTGTCAGAAGGCAACACCCACCGCTCAGGCTCCACTGGACTGTTTTGGATTGCTAGCTATGGGGGGGGGG